CAGGGGGGTTGGACTGGATGACCCACAGAGGTCCCTTCCAACCCCTAACATTCTGTGATTCTGTAAAGAAGAAATCTTTTGTTCATTTGAATAGCGTTTGCATAGCAGTAGAAAGATTTCACAGTACCTATTAGAATGACACTTACTGATCTAAACTGAGGATCTTTACACATATTCTTTTCGTTAAACTACATGCTTTATGGTCAGGTTTATTCTAAACATGACAGATTTGTCTTATAGAAATGAAAGTAGATAATGGCTATAAATTAAACCAGCAAAGCACTAGGTATGTTGAACTGTGCATTTGAATCGAAGTGGTACAGATTTGTACAAGTAGGAGCAAAATTTTAAAAGTCAGAAGGAGAAAAATGAGGTGAAAGAAAAAGGAAGAGGCAGTTTAGGCTATTTTCCACAAATGTAACTGTAAAAGGAAATACGTTTTAGTAAAGTTATGAGGTGATGTTAAATTTCTGTAGAATAAACATGTTTGCAAACTTTCCTTGTGGAGGTGAGAAATCTGGCCAATGATTTTCTCCTGCTCTGCACGGCACCTTCAGATTTGACATAGTCTTCATTTACCCTTTTTAAAAAGCTGCTATCTTGTGCCTATTGTTGATTTCCTTAGTCTAGAGATAGCTTAAAACAGTATTTCTGAGAAGTACATGCCTTTTCTTTTCCTCGGCTGTGGTTTTATGTTGCAAGACTTCAGCAGCAATACTCTTTCAAGGCCACCTATCTCCTCCTTCATCATTCCCTTGGCACACCATGCCCTGTGCTGAGAATGGGATCTGGGAACTGAGCTGGATTAAAAATCAAAACAGGTGAAAAATTACATCAATTTGTAGTGCCATCAGTTCCCTGATCCTTCACACAGTTACACTGGCACGACTGAAGGGTTTGCACACTAGCAAACAAGGAACAGCAAGAATGCCATAAACTAGTGTTGCAACAAACTCTTTCTGTCATGAAAACATGATTGTATTGGGCTTGACTTCCAAGCTCCAACTGTTCAATGCTAGTTTTTAGTACATTGCTGTCGAATGTTTTGGTGGAGTTATGGGTAAGAGGGGGAGGAGCTGGAGTTCTGCTAACTCTAAGGGAGTAGAAGATTAAAACGAACTGAGAGAGCAAAGACGAGGCATGGGTAGGATGCACAGAGGAGGATAGATGAGTATGAATAATACTCATCCTTTAGCTAAAGAGTGGAGGTTTTTCTCATTGAATGATAAGGTTCTGACCTAACAATAAAAATATTGATGTAGTTTCTGGAGGTAGCTTTCAAAATTTGATCCTTATGTAAAACTACCGGTGTTAGAGTTCTGCTGTGGTTTATGGGTTTATGTGTACATGTATGTACATGGTTCATAGACAATCTTTTTATGTACGTAAAGTAATTAAATTGGGCTCTATAAAAAAGAATTTGACAATCCTTTACTTGAGATAGTGTGTGAGCATGTGTAGCTGACTTAGTTTTTAAGAGTTTTCCTTGCATTTTCAGTATTATTCTGCCTAAGTATTTAAATAGTAAACTCATAATTTTAAGAAACAAATAACAATGATGTCAAAATACACTGTTTTAAATGTAACAGTGTAGTACTGGCAATGCAACAGCTTTACAACTGTTTTTCTTCTGTATTTAAGGTGGCCTAAGACATGCGGTTGCCAGTATAGCCGGCCTTGAGGCTTACAAGTACATGAAATTTGAAGGAGGAGTGCATCGTGTTCAGCGGGTGCCAAAGACAGAAAAACAAGGACGAATTCACACCAGCACAATGACTGTTGCAATATTACCCCAACCCACTGAGGTTATTTATCTTTTAGTATATTTATCTTTTAGTATAACAGACTTTACCACGAGCTACGTTTTTACATGCCATATTGCTGATACCCAAGTGTTTTCTGTCTCTTGTTATTCTCTCATAGTGATTTTCTTTTATCTTAGTTTTAAACTAAGTCATATTTCTTTATTAATTTTTGTGTAGGGGGTGAAATAAAGAATTTCTGGATTTCCTCATAATCCTGATCTCATGAAAGTCACTGGCAGTTCACTATAACTTGAAAATTCACTGTAACCATCTTGAATGTTTTGTGGAAAACTTTACATTTTTTTACAAAGTAACAGAAGACGGAGTTAGTTTACAGAGCTCATAGAGATTTCTTTTAGCACCTCCTTCTCCCCATTTTTGTAGTATCCTCACTTTCCCCTTCCAGAATGTACGGGTGATAATTCATTCTTGCCATATTTGCTTGGTTAAAAAAAACTGGCTAAGAGTTAAAGTTGTGTTTTGATCTTTGTTTCATGTTGACCTAGTAAATTGTCAAAGATGTTACTCCTTCGTATTCTTGCCCGAAGTTTTCCACTCCTTCCTCCTAGAGACCATTGGCCCATTCCAGAGCCAGCAAAGGGAATACATTCCATTTTATGTGAAAGCCATCTGGCCAAGTTCAGATATTGGTCAACTCTGCTGGAAGAGGGTGCAGAGCTTTCAGAAGAGGGGGAAGATTAATGCTAAGGGATGGTTATGCCTTAAGCTGCTATTTGTCTGATTTCCCCGCTTCCATCATGTTGCATTCCAGTCTGGCTGCGAACATTTGTTAGTGTTTTTATAAATGGATATGAGGTACGACTCATGAACTTCAGAAAGTTTGATCTTGCCTGAATGCCTTATACAATAAACCAACTATGCATATTTGACGTCTGTCTAGAAAGAAACAACATATACGTGTGGTTTTTTGTTTTTTTTGTCTCCCTTGACAGATGAGGCTGCAAATTAATCCGAAAGATCTACGAATAGAAACAAAGCGAGCTAGTGGAGCTGGAGGCCAGCATGTCAATACCACAGACAGTGCTGTACGAATACTTCATATTCCAACAGGTGCTTCATTTTTCCCTTAGTACAAGATCTACATGGCAAAGCTGCTGTCAGAGTTTCTTCTGAAACAACGGTTTTATTTTCAAACCTAGACAGCAGCGGAGCAGAGTTTTTGTATAATTTTCATGTGTGCTTATAGTATTCCAAAGGCAGTGTCCTTTGCCCACCCCAGTTCGTAATGGTGAAGACTACTGGCTTCAGTAGGTAAGCCATCTATTTTGCCATTAAGCATGACAGTCTAAAAGCATGCAGATCAGTTTCCATGAAAAAGTTATATTTAAGCTTTCGAATAATCAAAAAGAAACTGAAAAACAGAGTAGGTTAAAACCTGACGATTTGCCGTTTCTTGACTAGTCTCTGAAAGAGAGATGGCTCTATTTCTGTATGAAAATGTTGCTTTTAATTGCAGAGTGTACTCAGGATGCCAGCTTCCACTGGTCTGCTGGCTCCTTTCCCGTAGATTACGTGCAGAATTAGGAGGCCCATCCCCAGCGCTCAGGTTAGGAAATGTAGGAGGGATAAGATACACCCTCAAGTGCTACCTGATTTTAGCTATTGTATCTTTTTTTTATTGCCATTTCTAAGCTTTTTACTTCCTTTCGAACAATCCACAACAGCTGCCTTGACTTTCATTGCTTTTTAACTTTTCCTCTTCTCTACCACAAACATTACTTAGGCTTTGCAGCCTTAGGGTAATCCTGAGTGCTCTTTATCTTCACCTATCCAGATTTCTGCCACCTATTTCTTAAGGTTTATTGAAGACATTAATTCGTCCTACTCTTGTTGCATCACCTCGCTAAAGAGAAGATAAACAGTGGAGATGGTAGAATTCTGTTCAAGCTATGGCGACAAAAAGATACTCCAGATCAAAAAAGTTCTGGATTGCCTGCATCTTTTAAAAAACCTCTAAAACCAACAAACAATCGTAGTTTTTGCTGAAGGCAAAAGTGTTTGTTATAGAAATCTTAAAATGTATTTCAGATTTTTTGTGGTTATGCATCACAGATGGTTCATAGGGGTTTTTATATCTCACCGTATCTCCTGACTTTTTCCTATTCCACCTTTCCCATCTTCCTTCCTATTGATCTCTCTTCATCTCTTTTCCTTTACAAATGTCCTGTTACTTCTTCTATTTCTCTCATCCTAACTGTTTATAAATCTTCATTGAAACCCAAAAAGTTGTTTGTAAACAAGTCTTTCATAAAGTAGTACTATGTAATCTTATAAAAGTATACTGTAATCTTAACAGAGTTCCTTAAAATAAATCCAAATAACAGCTTAGCTTGTGCCATCTTCTTCCTGTATTTCTTCTCCCTACTCCCTTCTTAGACAGTTCACTTGTCATCTTAACTTCAGTCGTATGTTCTGGGGGGAGGAACCACACTGTTTTTTTTTTTAAATAGTGCCCACTTTTGTGTGTTCTGATCATATTCTATATATTCATTGTCTTCTGTATTTTACTGCTCCTTAAACCCTAAATTTCCTAGAACTGCGGCCAAAAATTACAGGTATTAAAGGTGTCTTCTGTAAGCCAGATCACATCACATATCTTTTGTTTCATTATCTACCTGTTGTCCAACATACCAAATCAAATTCTTATCATGTGGCTTAAAGCACCTGTACAACTCCGCCTGCAGTTCTCTCCCAGAATGTATCATCAGACATTAATAAGCCTGGACTTTTACATTCCTAGTTAAAAGTATGTATTGAAGAAAGAAACAGCTTACTGTAACATGATAAAAATCTTATAGAAATTGCAAAACCCTTTGAGTATGTGTTACTGTTAAGTGTTAAATGTCATGATATTTTTGGCAGGGATCATGTCTGAATGTCAGCAAGAAAGATCTCAGATTAGAAACAAAGAGAAGGCTATGCAAATGCTATGTGCTAAACTGTACAACGCCAAACTGGAAGAAGAAACCAAAAAGAGAAACAGCGTTCGAAAGATTCAAGTAAGTTTTACTTAGTCAAGATATAATTCTGTACAAGCGTATGTTCTTGGGGTAACCCCTGTCTTGACTTGCAAATAGTAGATGGAAACATAAAGGAACAGGAGCCCAGGAAGGACTTCTACTAGGCAAAAAAATTACACTCTACTGCAGCAATAAAGGTTGTATATAAGCCAGACAAAATTTCAGTAGTGTGTAAATCGTAGAGAACTAGTGAAACAGACTGGATTATAGCATGAAGAAGCAGAATAGTATTAGAAAAAGACACAGTAAAATTGTTCTTTTACATATTTGAGAACAATTGTGGCAACTACTGAGCTGGTCTAAGTACTGTATAACAAATTTTGGATAACCACAGAAGGAAGACAAAGCTTTGGCTTTAGATGCTTAATCAGTATTTCGTCCTTTCTATAAAAGGACGATGATGATAAATTGATTCTTCTTGTTTGACAGATTGGGACTAAAGGAAGATCGGAGAAGATCAGAACATACAACTTTCCGCAGGACCGGATTACTGACCACAGGATAAGCAGATCAGTGCATCATATTGAGAGTTTCATGCTAGGGGAAGAAATGCTAGATGAAATGATACAAACTCTGAGAGAATATGCTGACTATGAATCTTTAATGGAAATTATTGCAGAAAATGAAAAAAGCAATCTATCCTGAACGTTGCTTTTTGTCAGTCCATTACAACAGATGTAGACACTTGTCTGCAAAGGAACTTCTCGGTGCATCACCCAGAAAATGCAACTGCTTTTCGGATCGTGAAGGACACCAGTACTTGTTTCCTCATGACCGATACACAGTTTTCTTGCTCGCTGAGTAAAAGACTTTATTACCTTCATGTGAGACATTATTGCTGCAGCAGTCCGCTTAAAAAGTACATTTACTGGGCCAGATGTAACTGCACTTTTTAACTTTCTCCACTGAGAAGATACTGATACACCACTCTCGAAAGGTACGCGTTAAAAATGACCTATTTCTAGTTCCAGTTTTGTTTTAAACAACAGTTTAAATATCAGTACAGTGTCAAATAAATTGAGATAACAAAAAAATACTATTTTGTTTGAGTGATTGGAAGAAAGTGATAAATAAATGACCCCACTACTAATCTGCTTATTTGTTAATAATGCATTTACACTTTGACTCCTTCTGCCCATGCCACATGTACCTCGTTCATGTTTTCATGGCCTTCTGGCCCTTATTAATAAACACAAAAAATTGTTTAGGAAAATCCCTTGTTCCAGGAAAAAAGAAAAAAAAAGCTGTGGCAGCAAGTGACAAGTTACATGAATTATTTTTAAAAATAATATTTCCGTTTTTGAAGGAATCATTACAATATCGTTTGGCTGATATCTCAGTCTCCATTTGGCTTCAGTTCAGTTTCTCCTTGATGTTTTTTAATTGACTCTCCAGTTTATTGACTTTGTAAAGGTTACATAATATGAAGGGCATCTTACTGTTTTTATTTATTTAACAGCATCTTAAAACATTTGGTCTGTGAAAGCAAAATAAACCTTTTGCCTTTCTAGTCTACTGATATATGTGCATGTTTATACCTAGGGGTAAAGAAGTCTTTTCACCTTTATTTCAGACTACACTTTACAATCCCAAATACATTCCGGGATACAAAACCTGCAGCTTCCATGCTACATTAACCCGTCATGCATTGTACCTAAGCACGTGTGTATACACACACGGAATGTATTTGAAATATAAATACCAATTAACACGAAATCGGAACCTAAGGAAAAATGTTACCATGAATATAGGGGTGTTTACTTTCAATTAAAATTAGTGTAAGAAATTAGAATAGGAATAAAGTAAGTATGCTACAGATAGCTTACAGAAATGCATTATTTAAACATTGCATACAGAAATCTATTTATTATTATCAGTATATTATCTTCTTTTATTACATTGAGACTGCAGTTCGAACCAATGCATGTCAAAATCCACGTATAATCGTTTAATACCTTTAACAGCTTTGTTTTGTGGGAAATACTGCACGGTAACTGTGATTAAGTTCCAAATTTTTAATTAAAAGATGCATACATTAACTTCAGACATAGGGTTGCCTGTATGTGTAAGGTGAGACACGCATATTTTGTGTTGTTGAGTTTGACACCTAAGTCTAGATGTGCTACCAGATTTACAACTCCCAGCTGGCACAGAAGAAGGTAAAAACAAACACTGATGCAATTCGTGCCCAAAACAATTAGGTATTGACTGGAGCAGAAACTGTCACAGAAGTCTTTATTTCTACCAGATCAGAGCTGTAAATGGAAGACTACTGAGCACTTGTGGCAGTCCTCTGGACTTCACTGAGAATCAGGCTATCTTACACCAGATGATGGGCAGCGTTTGCCATTCCTTCTCTCTGACTTTAGCTTCCTGTTCCTCCAAACAAGTAAGGGCCATCAGCCAGTGCTAAGCACCGGACCACTGCGAGAAACTTCCATAAGCGTTCGGGTCTCTGTCACCCTGGACCTTCCCTGGTGGCTCCCGCTGGTGGCCTGGCTGGCCAGACCTTGCCTGGCTTGCAGCCTCGCGCCTCCAGGCCGCTTCGCTCCCCGCGGGCGGCTGCTCATAACGTTGGTCGTGCTTTGGAATAAGCGCAGTTATTGCACGGGGAGGAACCCAGACGGGCGATCAACCGCCAGCCGTCGCG